TGTTGCCTAGTCAACTAAAGAGGTGATGTTATAACAAACTGTTTCCTTAGAAATATAAATAAAGGCAACAATACTTCATCCTTATCTTTTTTGGGATAATTAGCACTATGTCAGAGTGTTCTTTGTTCCAGGTTTAAAATATCATCAGCATTCAAAAAAAATTATAATTGTCAGTATTTGTTTCCTGTAAAACTAGTAGATAAAGAAAAACCAGTTTGCTTGGCACCAATGAGATAATTATTTTAGTAAGTTTTGCCGCACACATTGAATTCACTATTTCTGTTTCTTTCTCACTTGGTTGCATTTTGGTTATCTCGTTTCAGTTACAATCTATTAAGCTAAGTCTGTTACAGTGGTTGAGGTTTTCCCACCTGTCTACCCTAAAACACCTGCAACATATGTTTGCGTAACCCTGCAATGCTTTGCATTTGGAGCCCTGAGAAATTCCCCCAGAGCTTTTTGCTTATAAACAGCTGAGCAATTCATTTCTCTAATGACGAGTGCTTTTCCCCTGGCATGGAGGCAATAGTATGTTCACTCAAATAAGTCTCATTTTTCATCAGAGACACACATTAGACAATTTTCATTTGTTTCCTCTTCTGAGTGTTTAATTTTAGAATTCAAAATAAAAAGAAAAGGGAAGAAATAATGCTTAAGAAAAAAAAGCTAAACATGAAAAAAATTAAGTGGAAGTAAAACAATCTTAAATTGTATCCACCCCTATCATCTTCACATGTTCTCTTGCAACTGCTGCATTCGCAAAAATAATACCGCATTACATTATTGGAGGTAAGTAGCTTTCTTAATATATAGTAAAATAATCTTGTTGTGACCTGTATCATTCAAGGCAGCACCTCTATATGATAAGAGCTACATAAATAATTTTCCATTATTATGTCGCAAGATTTACTACTATTATTTTACCTGAATTCAGATTATTTCAATTTTTTAGTTTTTCTTCCCTACCAGTACCACAAGAAAATTTTCAAACTCAGGGAACCAAACAAACATGTTAAACTGTTTTGTGGCAACATTGGGTCTAAGCAAATCAAGTTTTTCAGTCAATATTAGCCTGATACTATCTACAGGTATGGCACAGAATTCAGAAATTGGGTAGAGCTTTTCCTCAAGTTATAACAATTTATAATCTGTCGTTTTTCTCTCTTTGATACTAGGGCTCCCTATTGGGTGATATTCCTACCCCTATTATATTCTTTTAACGAGACAGAAAGGTGGAGGTAGATATAAAAGAGTCTAAAAGTCCTGAATCTAACTTGAGGCAAATTCCTTTGGCCAAAGACCTAAGACAGGCAGGGCAGAGCGTCCAAAAGGACTTCTTTCTGAGCCTGGAATTTGGGTTTGTCATAGGAGAAAGGGCCTTAGGACAAAAGAGACATAACTGCTATTGGAAGCCACAGGTGATGGTAACATGGAGATTATGGCATCGTGGCTTGCCATGGATAGGAGGTAGGTTGCTCTAATGTAGGTAATTAATCAAATTTTTCTGAATTCAACAGGAGACTTTTTCAGTCCCTGGGTTGATCCAGGATCATGGAGGCCCAAAAAGAGCTTAAAAGTCACATTAGCCACCACCTCCTCCTTAGGTTTGATTTCCAAACTGCGTGTATAAAACACGGCGCTATCCTGAACGTAAAATCTTATTTTACATACCTATTACTGTAGCACTACATAATATTTTTTTCCATTTGAAATCATTCATTTAAAAAGAAGTCTCAAATGAAAAGTTGATCTTCCTGTTAAAAAGAACAGAAAAGTAATTAAAAAATCCAGAGAATGTTGCTAAAAGAATGAGAAAGCTGTGTATTTTCTGGCTGCCCTTCATTTGTACATAAGAAGTCCTGGTAGTGCTACATTTCTTTTATATAAAGGGAAGAAAAAAATTAACTTGTTAATCTTCTTACTGCCCTTCTTATACCTTTTAGGCATTAAGTACATGATACTTGTTGGGGTGTGGTGGAGGTAATAATTTACCCATCATCTCTCTTATCAATAGATGATGATGATGATTTTACATTAAATAGTTCAAAGTAATTAATCTGAAGAAGAGAAATACGAAAAATGTTAGTAGGATAAGTAATTAACCATCTCTGTGGTACCCACTTTGCAAAGAAGGCTTGGTGTTTAGAAATAGTCTGCCTTAGAGTGAACCTACATTGTGGTAAGTCATTTGTTTAACCTATTTGTTTTGAGTCTACAACACATCTAATACTGAGGATAGAGAGATGGAAAAAGATATTGATATCTTTGGGAAAAATGGTACTGTTTAGGATATTTTTCTCTGAAATTTATGCTATGGATTTTTTTTAATGAACAATAGTCATAATCCTAATTTCTCTTACTCTGTTGGAAATGTAGCTTTCGGAAATACTAAATATATCTGGGGTAATACTATTCAGATATCTGCAGTCAAATATGTAATTTAGGCTTTTAAATATATCAGGATTTTCTTAAAGGATATCAGGTTGGGCTACAAAATTATTTCTGACATTAGCCCGTGGTATTTATTGTCTTAAATTTCAAATGCTGTTTTTTCAACATTATTTTTTTTTCTGAGGGCTTTTTTACTCTGCATGTAATAGTACTTTAAACTGTCTCTCCCTTTGATACCAGTAAGCCTCATAGGAATTTAAATAGACCCTACTGAAAGTAATGCTTGAGCCTCATTCATATATTCAAGTTAGATCATTATTCCTATTAATGGCTTTAAGTGCTTAGATAGTAGATCAGCATTTTGTGTCTTGAGTTGCTTGTCATTTCTGCATAAATGTGTTTCAAGAAGCTGTTCCACATAATCTCTTTTACCATTTTTTTCCAGAAAAGAAAGTAACATAATTCTTTATTGGTTTATAGGAGTTGGAAAAGAAATCTTTTAATATTTTAGTAAAAACAAAGCACACGTTCAGTTACTGCAAACAAGCACCAGAACTGGGCATGAGTGAAAATGAGGTTTTTTCAAATGAACTTTGTATGAACTAGAAATATGCTGGTGACTTGAAACGCCTCTTTTCATGTACCTTTGCTCAAATGCTAATCAGCATCTGTAAAATAAGCAAATAATCTATTAAATGTATCAAGAAAAGTTAGCATAGGAACATCAGTTGTTGCCTTGATGTCAGTCAGATTTGATTATCATAGAAATGCATGGAATTACAAAACCAGCAAAACAGTAACTAAAACTGATTCATTGTTATTACTGTCAGTTGATTAGGACTGACTTACATGCCATATGATGGGGTAGAATTATGCAGCTATTTTAATAGTAACAAGAGAAGACAAATGTACAGTAGCCATTACAATGCAGATGGATGAGGTTTTTTTTAATGCTTGTCTAATAGCCTTTAGGTTGGGGTTTTTTTATGAGCACTGCACACAGTATTTATGTAAAGTAACTTCAGTGAGCTTCCAGACAAGAAAAGTTATTGATTACAAGATTAAGTTTGACAATATCAAATAGAAAATTCTCAGTGGAGGTTTCAATCCCAAAGCTTAATTTTGATCACAGCAACCTTGTCAGCCTTCTGATACCTATCGTTTCTTAAAGGTTAAGTCCTCGTTATGCCCCCACCCCTGGCATGTACAGTATTTGGTTACTTAAACTGTAATTCCCAACTACTCCTACAAAATTGAAAAAAGTGGTCAACGAAAAAAAGATTACTGCAATTACCTAAAGCTTAAAAGGATAGAGCTCAACAGCTCATATCAAGACTGCACAAGGGTAATGACCACAGGGAGAGGTGGAAAAGATAAACATTTCTGTCTCTTTTAATACTTTCTCTTCATCGAGATGAAAATAAAACATGATTTTTCCCCCTATAATCAAGCATGTCATGAAGCATTGCATTGATCACTTGATTGTATGAATTATTAGTAGGACATAAAAGCTCAGGTTAATATATTTTAAATAAGTGCACAGTTTATAAGGGGGAAGAAATTTAAAAGGAAATAACTTGAACCTTTTTTTAACAATGTAGTATCTTTAGATAGGTGCACAAAAACATTAATGAATGTTGCCTCCTGCCCTGGGCATATGTTGCCTCCTGTCTCCATCTCTCTCTTTGAAAGGTATTTACTCTGTCTTTGTGTAGGTTGTTTGGATGTATGTGCAATTTATTTTTTAATAATAAAAATATTTACATAACACTCTATCTTCCAGCATTAACCTTTTCAGCTGTATGGGCTCCTTTGTGTATAATACAGCAGTATATAATCTTGAGTATTCTAATAGAATATTATGTCCAAGGTGCTTTTTGAGACAATATACTTTAATGCATAAGTTTCTTTTTGGTGGAAGTGGGGATTAACAAACTGTATATTCAATATTAATTATATGCTTTATAGTATAAACGGATGGTTCTTATTTAAGGCCTAGATTCTGAATGATTTGAGGCTTGGGAATAAAAAAAAGCTGTGTATGCCATCTAGTGGCTATGTTTAATTTGATCAGCTCAATCTAATTCTTAGCCTATCTTTTGCTTAACTAAAATTTTCACTAGCAGTTGTACATTAATTTTAAGTTAGTTTGCCTTCACTATTAACATTTCATTTAATAAGCCCTAATTATAGACAAATATTTTGGATATAAATTTCTCTAGTCAGCCCTACATACGGCATAAAGCAATCTCTGGAACCAAACTTCACCAGTCACAGGGAAGATTCAAATCCAAATTAGATCAGTGTGGCTTGGCCTCATCTCAACATGGATGAGTAGGTTTGTCATGCTTAATTACAGGATTGGTGATCAGTCTTAGTGTTATGCTAATGCCTGAATCCCAAATATTTCAGAACCAGTCATCTCTTTTTAAATGTGATTCCTGTCTTTATCAATTATAGGTCTAGAAAAAGAAATGATTCTTTAATTTGTATTCCTTATTAATGAAAATGTTTCTAAACACTATATTAAAACACCAGAATTTTCCATTAAGATACTGATACCAGTTTTTATTAAATATTTTCTCACTGTGACACTTTCTTTTCTTTAGAAAAATCCCAGACCAGTGACTCACCAATTCCAACAGAATTTAGATTATTACAAAGCACGTGGGGCAGATTTGATGAATAAGACTCGGTAAGCCTCTTTTACATATTGTATATTATTAAGACCTTACTAGACAAAAATGTATAGGCTCTTTTTTATCCCACACAGTACATGGGACAAATGCTTAGTATGTCAAATTTGTTCTGAATCTTTTCAATACAATATACTTACATGAAAAATTAAGCTATTACAAATAACATCATGTTCTAGCTTGCAGACTCTCTCTCTCCAAGGTATTGATTCTCAAGCAGGGTGCTGTGGCAGTAGGGTGCCTTGATATCCTTTCAAGGGTCCCATGGGGTGCCATGCAATGCTAGCACTGTTAGATGTGCAAACATGATTCACAAGATAAAACCAGAGGTTTCAAATAGGAATCCATAGAGTTAAAAACTTTCTGAATTCTTGTGGTCTTTCTGAATTCTTGCAACAGAAGAATTGCTATATTATGTTCCTGTAGTTCAAAATTAAGCGCTGACAATTGACAATTAAGAGTTGACATTTTCCAAGGGGTGCCTTGAGTCTAAAGTTTGAGAACCACTGCTCTAAGGCTTAGACATGTCTAAAGAGTTCATCCTGTGCTTCAGACTGTAGATGAGCAAAGAGAGGCCAGAGAGAGCTTTAAATGAGCTGTCTCAGCTGCTGGAAGTTCAGAAAACTAGCCTTCATGGAGCTCTTGGCTAGACTGTCTAGTACCTAAACCAGCTCATTTAAAGCTGCCTCAGGTATTTCTACATAACAGTACAATCTTCATTGTAGACACGCACAAAACTACACTAGACATTTAACTACAGTCCATGTTACAGTAGATGTTTAACTAAAATCATTTACAACCAAGTTAGGTAAACTAGTATAAACTGCCACTTGGGTGTTCTTCACTTATTTTAAAAAGGACTTGTATCATGATGGGTGAAACTAGAGAGCCCAGTCCCATTCTGATGGTCAAAATACAGGCGTAATGCAAGCAGATGATTTTGTTTCAGAGCGGTTTACAATTTCCCTATAGAGTATTTAACTGAGATGGATTTATCTGAGAATACATTTCCAAGTAATCACTAGTTAAGGTGAACAAAATGGTCTATCTTGTTAAAATAGTTATTGTATGAAGAAAAACGCTGAAAACATTACAAAAAAAATCCAGAATAGACTTGATTATTTGTATCTCTTTCAACCCCAAAATTTTCGCATCAATCTGGAAATTAATAGATATTATCTCATAGATCACTGTAGATGCTGAAATGGCGGTTATGTTACACGCTGGCATATCAAAACTAGTATTCCTTTGTAGAAGAGTGATCAGCATCATGGAACTTGCATGGTAGCTCTGCAGAATTCTCTTAGCAAAACTATCACTGAGTGTTTCTTTCTCTATTTAAGGATTCTTAAAAAAAAGATAGTGAGCTACAGTGTGGCACAGTGGGGTAAGCTGCCTTGGAGCTGCAGTGTATATAATTTTAAATTGAGTTCAGCTCTAGCTCTGCATAGTTTAAATATTTTTTTAATTATTTGGAGCACAGGTTTTCTTCTCTCCATTATCTATAAAATAAGCGATCAGCGGTTCTCCAGGTGTCATGCTGATGGCACTTATTTGTTCCATGTAGGAGAACAGAAAAGGTGAAATGATGAAATAAATAGACCAAGAATATTGCATTCAAAATCTGGTACTTGAATATATACCACTTGGTACCACAAAGATGGGGAGGGGGCCTGGTGGGAGTTTGCAAACCAAAGCAAAAATTATGAAGTTTCCTCAAACAGAGTTGTGGAAATCATTGATTTTTCAGTTTACTAGCTAAACCCCCAAAAGTTGAAAAGAACGTGTCAAACCAGAATGAATTGTTCTGTTTTCTGCCTTCTTTTCTTTTCTTTTCTTTTCTTTTCTCTTCTTCTTTTTTTTGCTTCCAAATGGAAAAATGAAATGTTAAAAAAAATCTATGTTTTCATTTTTATCAGATGAAACTATTTGTTAAATTAAGTGACAGTTGTCAGATTAAGTAAGAATTCTCAAGCAGTTTTGGTTGATCTGAAATTGCATTTCTCAATGATTAAATTATTTGTTCGAAAACTTTCACCCAGCCCTCACTAGAATGATGTGTGATCGAAGGAGCTTAAGCCTACTAAACAACCAAATTATGACAAATTATGGATAGGAATATAACTTCATTGTGAATTGTTTGGATAGCAAAGGGGAAATAGAAATTATTTAAAGTCATTCAGTGGGGAATAATTAGGGCAAATAGATTTCAACAAAAGAACTGGATTAGTCTAACTGTATTGTACTTTGGAACGTTCTCCAAAAGAAAATGGGATGGATTCTTTGAAGATTAGACTGAGCAAAGGACTAGAAAACATACCATTAGAAGATGCCTCTGCAGTCAGCAGAGGAATGGATGAGATAACCCAGTAGGCCATGTCCCTTTAAGTTCTCTGATTCCATTATATATTTAAAATGCATTCAGAAATCTTACATATATTGCTTATTTAAAACTTTTAAATCGGTCATATTCATAGATTTTTCTCGGCTAATGGGGACTTACTAAAGAGAAAAATGCCTTTGAATAAGGCTCTCTTAAAACAAAACATTCTCATCTTGGGAAAAAAGGCAGCGATTGAATCATCTTCCTACAGCTTGTTTAAAAATATACCATTCATAGTCAAGGTCAATGATGCTTATTGTGATGAAACAAAATTGTTTGCTTCATAGATGGGATTCACGTCTCCTTGACATTCATGTTTTTAAACTGATGCCTTACTTTTAAATGCATCTGCTGATAACTCTATAACATAATCAATCCTCATTTTTCTTGTAATTGTTGTGCATGTTTGGTACATTTTGATGGCTAAAATGTAGACATTGATCCATGTTTAATGGCTGTAATCATCCTTTGCACTAGTATATGAGAAGTTTAGATGGTAGAAAACAAATGCATTGTTCCTTACTCTCCTGAACTTCAATTTGGTATCAAAGCATCTCTTCCTGAAGACCTAACACCTTGTCATTGTTTTCATTTTCTGAAGCTGCCACTTAAAGAAAACACAGCATAAGGATTAGGGAGGGACAGCTGAGGGAAGGGAAGGGAAAGCTGAGAGGGAATCATCGTTTCTTGGCAAGCCACTGAAATGCCAGCATCATTATTTGACTTCTTTTGTGTTCATGTACCAAACTGATTGTTGGCAATAAAAGGTCAATGCCTATGAGACCTGTAACTATGTTAATTTTTTTCCAGTAGACATAAGTTCTAATTCTCAGGTAACATTTAACATCCTTTTATGATAATTATGATAAAAAGTGGCTTCCAGCAATGTTTCAGCCCTTTAGGATATAAGAATGTTTTTTCTGTAGGATTAAAGATATAGTTAGGCAACCCCTACCCACTGAAAGATTCCACATGATTCTTTATGCAGCTTTGATACTCTGGTGTTAACAGAATGTGTCAAAACATTAACACCTTTTTTTTTTTTAACTTTAACAATAATCTACCAGAGAGTGAAGCTTCAATTTTGCATGAGCCCCTGTTGATTCAGGACATTTTTTCCTACCCTCTGGACATTAACTTTGAATATCTTCAGTTAAATGCTAGTCTGGTAGTCGGCACAGATAAATCATACTTAAGAATCCAGCATACCCTATTGTCCTTCTAAGGCATTTTTTTAGGTGAATAGCAGACATTACGTTTATGGCATGATTAACTCCATAAAATGGCAAACTGGCCACAAACTTGTTCCGTGTATAATATATATATAATATGGAACACCTTTGTGGCTGGTTTATATAGCACTTTAAATTGTTGTAGACCTAAGGCTGGCATATCCTAGACCTGGGGCTGCCCAGGTCAATGATGAACATCTCAAACTGGTCCCAGGGCTGTGCAGAATCAATTGGCCCAGGGCATGCCCGCTCCCCCTGCCCCATCTATGGGATTGGGCTGAGGGCAGATTTGGGTCCCAGTTTGTCCCCTACCATCCCACAATGGGATGTGAGGAATTTTATGCCCCCACCCCAAACATTGTTTATCCATGCCATTATTTTAACACCTGGGGCCTGAATGCCCTTGAAGCACGTGCCCAAAAGCAGTTCATGCTATTTATGTAGTCAAAATATGGTTAGCATCTTCACGTAGCATGTCCATGGCATAGATCATCATTTTATTCTATGTGTATACAGCACCTAGCCTCGTGAATCGGAGTCCTGATTCATGTCTTAAGCTTTAAGCACTACCACAACAAGAATGTATAGTAATAAAAAGCACTAATGATACTTCCTTTATTTTTGAGTAAATGAGTAAAATGATTCCATTTACTTCAGCAAACAATTTGAATTTTGAAATTCCTGTAGATGGGTTTCCTGGCAGTTAAGATGTCAGTACCTGTGCATCTGTCCTGAGATGACTAAATAAGGACATCTGCCAACATAAATATATTAATCTGGGGAGGAATTTAAGCATTTGAATCCCAAGTACAAGAAACAAGCAATTCTACACAATGTCCATGAGACAAAATAGCAGTAGCCAGAGGCAGGACTGACAGGGACAAAAGGCTTGATGTCTTCTGAAGGTATTGACAGGCACATTAAAATATAGCAGGTCAAATTTACAGTGCCATTAAAACATGGCAAGAAGTGTATTATCCCAGACTCCTGGCTAGAGGGCTACAAAGCAACTTCAAAGATATGCTTTCCAGCCAGGGGGCACAAGAAGGCTGTTCCCTGGCTTCCCTCACTACCAGGGTAGCCCAATCACTGACAGCCTGCCATCTGTCCTGCCAGGGAAGGGAGGAAGCTGTCAATGATCAGCTGACAACTACTGAGAAGTATCAGGTGCCAGAGACAGCACTTGTGCCCTGCAGGGATGGCAGGAACAAGGAAAACTGTTCTCCTAACCCAGGGGTGGGCAAAATGTGTCCCAGGACTCAGATGTGGCCTGCCAGGCCATTCTATTCGGCCCACGGGGCCCCTAAAAAATTTAGAAAATTAATATTAATCTGCCCTGGGCTGCCTGTCATGCGGCCCTCAATGGCTTGCTGAAACTCATTAAGTGGCCCTCTGCCCAAAATAATTGTCCGCCCCTGGCCTAACCTCTGACTCATCTGGTAATGCCACTGCCACATCCCCAGCTCTTGCCAGGGATCTTGCAGTAGCTAAGGGAATCCCCTCACCCTAATACTCCCCTCATGCCTGCCTTCTCTCCTGATTGGAAAAGCGGATGGGTGTGGGCAACACTTTGGGTTAGGATCCTGGAATTCTGCTGCTACTTGAACACTCCTTGGACTTTGTGGAACTGCTCAAGAGGCACAGCTTGAATCCACACTGCTGTCTGCACCCTAGCGCTATGCAAAGTGCACTGGGAGGTGGCACTACAGTACTCCCTGACAGCTTGCCAATTAGTGGGCTGTCAGGCAGCGAGCCATGCTACCTTCTTCTCTCTCCTTTGGGAGAGTGGAGGACTGGGATACTGGAGTTCTAGGGACTACCATCCTGCTACATGTAACTAAAGAGTGACTGCTCAAAATGGCTGGCAATTTGTGGTGAAAGAACTAGGTTTTTTTCTGCCATAAACTGCTTGAATGCAGTTTGGTGTGTGTGCCAGGAACATGGCATTTTTCCCAACATAAATGTGTAATGCCTCTCCATAGCCTCAATTTGATCCTTTCTGAGAGTCAGTTACCAGTTCTCAGTCTTCATCTTATGTCTTAGGCAAACTCCAAACAAAGCTGTAAAGAAGGCCCCACAAGTGGGAAGGCTGCTTCTCCATGCTCTCTCTGCCTCTAATTTTAGTTTTATCTGCTTGCATTGGGATTCAGACACAATTTTAAGTGCACCGTCTAGCTCAGCCTAGATTTTTTTTGCTGTAAAAATATTTGAAAGCTCATATTCTAGAGGCATATGTGACTGGTGCCTCCTGAATCTGGGGGGGGAACCCGCAGAAGCCGCCAATGGTGGCAGCCCTGTCGGGGGTAACCAGTCCTACTGACAGCATCGGTTTCGGCTGTCGGGGGGGGGCCAGCACTGGCCCCGTCATGGGGGCCATGTGAACCTCCTACCAGTTGCCTATGTCTAGAGGTAAATTGTGGGAATATGTATTCAAAATTCCCTGTATTTTTTATTTTGTATGTTGTAGTGATGCACATTGGAATTAGAAGTATATCCATACTTGTAACTAGTAGCTTGTGTCCTATCATGTGTGGTTCTTCTCATTTGTTTGAATTAACAAAGGTCACAGAACAGATTCATTTCTAATTTATGTTTAATGAAGGTTCACTTAAACATCACAGAACTGTATTGTGTCCCAGCACACCAAGTAATGATAATTTCTTTAAAATATTTTGTTCTAATTCTTTTTGTGCAGCCATTTAAGCTAGTTGAGACAAATCAATTAAAATAATTAAAACCATACTTATAGATCTAGATCAGCAGGCCATATCCAGCCCACCAAGTGACTTCATCTGGCCCACATAGTCTGCATATTGAACAGCAGTGTGGTAGTGGGGCAGTTTGGCACCATTTCAGAGGTGGGGAAATTCTGCAGACTGTAGCTGCAGCTGTCCTACCACAGAATGAGCTGTTTTATGTTTGCCCACTGCTCTGAAAAGGTTGCTGATCCCTTATGTATATTACCTCTGAGAGTAATATGTTTTTACAGAATACATTCCAGTAATTTATTTTACAAAATGTGAATATAGTATCATGGTTCTCAGCCTTTTTATACGTGAGACACCCCTTGATAATGTTTTGAAATTTAAAACCACCCCATTTAAAGACCTGGGGTTTTTTTTCCTTACAGAGCTTACCTGCTCGTAACCTACAGCACCCTAAAAGGAACTCCTGGGGTGGCAGAGTAGGCAGGGTACCTATGAGCATGGCTGAAGCTGGTGCATGATGCTCAGTGCTGGCAAAGCCTGCTCAACAAGACAAAGTGGGGAGCATAGGGTCTTCATTCAATGTGGATGGGGTGGAGAAAGCTCCTTGTCTTAGACTGGAGTATAAGTAGGAGGTAGGCAATGGCTGCAACTCTAACCCAAGCCCAGGATTGGAGCCACAGCCACCCCCGCTCCAACCTCTACTACCTGTCTTCCCCTTCTCCCCCGCTGCCTCTGTCCCCACCACCACCACCTTTGCTCCCTACTGGTGCTTGCCTATCCCTTACAGCTCTGGTTCCCGGTGGGGCCCTGATCTGGCTGGCAAGCCAGGGAGCACACAGTACGTGCTGCCTTCAGCCCCAGCCTTGCCATGTAGAAGCAGCAGTAGCTCTGGCCACTGCTCCAGGACTGGGGCTGAAGCTGTCACCACTACAATTGCTGAAGTAACCACTGTTTCATACTCCCTGCCCTGGGCTGGAGCAGGGCTGTAGCTGGAGCTTGAGCTGTGAAGGGGAAGGTAAGTGGAAGGGGTCATGTGTGGGGGAAGGCAGCAGTGGAGAGGTGGTGTGGGGAACAGGTAGCAGAGGGGGCAGGTGGAAGGGGCAAAAGTGTTGGAGAGGTACAGACACCATGAGAAAATGTAGGCATGGGGGGTGGGAGGGATAAGTGGCAAGAAGATGTGGGGGGCAGGCCACTTGACTCTCTTGCCACCTGTTCTACTACTGCCTGTCCCCCTGCCACAGCTTGGCCTACTGCAGCAGTGTGGGGGAATGAATTTAAGTTGACCCTCGAAAAATAAGATTCTATACTTGAAAAATTATAACAAATGTATAGCGTTTCCATGTCTAGAATCTAAGTATTGGGAAACGTCTTAAATGTAGAATCATCTTGGATTTGGGTAAATACAGCACTTTCACTGAACTACAATTCCATAGCATTTGTTAAGATCTGATGATTTAATTGAGCTATCTTTTCAATTTTCCATTCACTGTGATGAAGTTTTCTTCAACTAGGGATAGCATTTCACAAACTGTGTCACATAAAGGGCTGGCTGGCAACATCATCTTGATTCTCCAGATTTATGAGGATCATGAGATTGCATTCTTTCTCATAGGGAAAAAAAGAGATATTGAATTCTGCTTTTTATAATTCATTAAGAATTCAAACAGTGTAAAAATGCTTCAGTTGGAAAATGTTGAAATGAAACATGGAATATTAGGGCCAGAGAGGAAATGGTTGGAGAAACTGATATAAATTCACAAAAAGTTTTGTTGATGGTCTGTATCTCCTTTTCCTCCCCCACTCCTTCCCAAAAATGGGCCAAAAATTTTGGCCAACTCTACTGGATGTGGATTGTATGCTAAGATTCACATGTACATGTAAAATGCTATCTGTGTTTTTTTTCTAGCCTTAGAATATTTTTCCTATTCTTTATAAAGCATCATACATATTTACATTGCTATATAAATTATTGATGATCATCCATGCCTTCATTTCTGTTTTGTTTTTCAGTGCCAGTGCTAAGGTTGCTCCACTGAACATTAATAAAGTCTCCAATAGCTTGCTTAACCTTGGTCGAAAGCTGATTGCACCAGCTATTGCTTCAGGTGGTGCTTCAGGCTCAGCTATTGGTAGTAGTAGCATCAGCAGCAGCTTTCCTTCGGGTGCGGTGCCTATCAGAAGCACAGCAGAAGCCTCCCAGCTTTACTACTACCAGCAGGCACAGCAGCAACAGCAGAGAATGATGAAATCAGAAAGCATGCCAGTCCAACTGAGCAAAGGTAAAACATGAAAAGCCTCTCCCTGTGCAGTGTGAAATTCCACAATACTTGCAGTAAAAACATTAGCCCAAAGAAGGAAGGTATTTCATATGTTGTCAGGACTATAGAAGACCTGTTTAATTGATTTTATATACTGTGTCTATCAATGCACGTTTTTATAACTGAAACACCATGTACATTGTTAAATTAGATGTATTTTCTGATATAGTATGTTTGCAATTTAATGCAACATAGTCTAGAACAGTGGTTCTTAATAGGGGTGTGTGAAACAGGCCGTATTCAATTCAGATTCGGCCCGAATCGGGGGAGAGTGATTCGATTCATTGACTCAGATCACTGTCCCAATTCGATTTGGCCGAATCCGAATCTGAAGATTCGATGCTGATTCACAGAATCAGCGATTCGGCCATAGACACAACTTTAAATGTTTCTTCTACATACCTCGAGGTACCAGGCACAGCTTGTGAATGCTGTGATGGTGGGGCGGATGGAGCATCCTACAGGAGCATGGGCGGGCCCCGCGCACTCGGTGGTAAACCCAGAAGTGGATCGGAAGTACTTCCGGTCTGCTTCTGGGTCTACTGCCAAGCATGTGGGAGCCCCCCCCCTCCCCCCCAAGCTCAGCAATCAACTGTGGGGGGACCCCAGATGCCCCTCCAGACCCAGGAGACCCCAGTCACTGAGCCAGGGAAGGGGGGGTCCCTCGCACGCTCCCTGGCAGACCCAGAAGTGCACCAGAAGTGCTTCTGGTCCACTTCTGGGTCCACTGCCAAGCGCTCTGGGGACCCTCCCACACTCCCGTGGAATGCTCCATCTGCCCCGCCATCTCAGCATTCGTGAGCTGCCTGGTACCTTGAGGTATGTAGAAAAAACATTTAAAGCTGTGTCTGTGTCTGAATCAATTCGGAGCGTTCTGATTCTATTCAGAGAGATTAAAGGGTCTTCTGATTCGATTCGGATTTGGAGATTTGGCTGCCGAATTGGGCCAAATCTCTGCTGAATTGAATCAGCAACTGAAGCTTCACACAGCCCTCATTCTTAACCTTTTTAGATTAGAAACACCCCCCAGAAAATACCAGCTCTTAGTTTTCACTCCTTTTTTTGGCTACAGAAAAATAATAGGAGTAATTGTTCTGGTGCAGGGACTACAAGAAGACTGCTACTGGTTAGAATGTTTTTGAGACTATGCATTCCTATTTGAAATGATTGGGTTAGCTTGGGAATCATGCTTAAGTGTTTGCCTACCTAACAATGTTAATATTCAGCTGTGGAACACTGATTGAAAATCACTGGTCTAGAAGCTGAAATGGCTATAGTACAAAGTAGAGTACATACAAATAAAGTGTTTTGATCTTTTTAAATTAACAAGAAATTATTATAAGAATAATGGCTAAACAAAATAATTACACTATGTGCTAGCTTTGTCTAGACATTTTCTTGACTGTCTCTTAAATGCATGTTATATGTTCAGCTGAATAACTTGCTTTGTGGGTATCTCAAGCTACAGGTACAAAGTTCTTACATAACACAAGCTTCTCACGGTATGAAAATTCACACTTTGTTCATGGTTGAAACTGTAAAGGGAGGATAACAATATAGAGTTAACATCTTGCATATTCATATTCCAAGTCTGTCGTCTTCTCCCCCTGCCACATCACTGAGTGGCTCAAATCAGTCTTTTCATCAAGCCCGGTATAGCCAGTAGTTATAGATGGAACAGAAACCAAATATACAATTATAGGAAAAGCAGATCTAACTACACAGTTATGCAAATATAAGACACTTTTCTAAGAGCCAGTGTGGGTGTTTGGCTGAAATTTAGGTAAGCAACCCCTCTGTAACCCCGTTAAAAATTTGCAAAAACTTCCCCAGGAAGAGTTGTACAGTTTATCACAAGTCCTCACACTGTGGCAAATGTGCATGTGCTGAAGTGGAAACTGAAAACCAAATAGCTACTTAATTTTTTTAGTTGAAGCCAGGCCCCAACAGATTCACACAATCCAACCATACTTCTGTTGAATCTTTGGTAAAATGCAGACCGTTCAGTGAAAGCAGACTGGTCCTGGAGTAAAAAGATTTCAATGTTTTCTTTGACTTGGAAAGTCAGGGTAGAATATTGAACCACTTAAAGTACCCAGGGGTAATGCAAATGGCCGTTTAAATCACGCAAAAGGTACAAGCCATTTGCCAGATCCTGTTGATTCTTATATTAAAGGCACTCTTTAAAATGAATTAAGCCTGCCTGCTCTTTCATCTTGGAGCACTGTGCACTCAGCATGTGCCCTACATATTAGAACCAAATTACTAGTGATTACACTATAAGTCAGTGTTAGGGCAGATGCAGTTAATCAATCATATGCTTCCCCTTTGCTTGGTACCTACTTATACGCCTTTTCCCCCTTCTAAACTACAGATTTAAGATGACTTTGGTACTTATTATAGTTTTGCCAGCAGAACTTTAAATGCCTCCTCACTCAAAGCTCCTCTCTGTCAGAAAAACTACATCAGTACTGTTGAGCAGGGTAAGGCTTCCACCATAACCTGGTGACCACCAGGTTAGCTTGTAGGATTAGCCAGCTATCGGGCACATTGGCTGATTTCTTGATTGCCAAATAAGCCTACCACATATAACCTAGACTATATGTTCATTTAAGGAAAAATATGGATTTCTATACTGTGACAGCTAATATATTAAACGTATTGTAATTGGAGCAACTTGTACTTATATCTTGATTCAGTTTGTCATGGTAAACCCAAGGTTTGCCCTGTCTACACTAGAACTATACATGCTAGCTGTCATATATTGGCAATTGCATAGAAATTCATACCTTCTACATATAATGAAATCCATTCAGAAATCAGAGATTTATAATAATGATACAGTTAGTACAAAAGATATCGCATCGTGATTATATATAAATGTAGATATCAAATACAGAGATATTCATACCATGAGATTATTGAGAAATAATAGAAATGTGATGCAAATTAGAGATCCAGAGCCAGGCTGGGCACAAGAGACTTCACAGCTGGTATAAAGCTTATAGCTGTAGTTCAGTAAGTATGCATCCCCACACTGTCAAAGACCTATTCCATTTCAGTATGATGAAAGATAAAGAGTGTGTACTACATCTATAGTTGGTATTTTTATTTAGACCAATATTCTGCCCAAATTTACATTGGTTTGAAATTTCTCTTGACTGTTTAAAATAGCACCATCTAATGGATTTAAAAACAAAAAGTTTGTTGCAGTAGAGTTTTTGAGAAGCCAGGTCCAAAGGGCAAGAGAAATGCAAAGGCCATGCTGCTTAGGTTCTGTCACGTTTTAATACCACTGTAAGGCAGATGGTTTAAATATAGTAGTTAATAAAAGACAATTGTTTACTTATAGTAAGAGATGCTGGTGACAGGCACTTAGTTATGGTTTCATAACTGAGCCAATCCTTTGACAGATATTAGCATCTCAAAGGAAAGAAGGGAAAAGGTATCATTACATATTCTGCATATTATGATGCTGGCAAGTTTGTTACATAATAACAAACATAAGTTACCTGCAGAGACCATTTGAGTGCACAGGGACTGTTCATCCCCTTTGTCTACCTTTTGATGTAACTGTACCCTGTTTAACTGCTTACTTGATGAAAGTGACTGGCAGCCACCAATTTCAGGGCCTTTGATAGCCCTATCCTAAGAATTTCCTGTTGGCTCCTTAAGCGGCTGTATGCTGAGTGTACATACTGTATTGGGTGCCATTCTGAGATGATTCAATCTACTCTGCCCTAGCTGCTTCACACAGAGTTCTAGGATTTTGCTTCCAGAGCAGGTGTCTGACAAGTTAGATATTAGACCTTTCTGACTTTCTACCTCTGAAACCATTGATTGGATCCAGTCCTTAGTTTTCTGTGTTCTCCCTTCTATTCCCACCTTCTGCCTTATGTTCGTTTGGGCTAAGTACAGACAGTCAAAAAGCCCAAGGCTGAATCAATTCAGTGTTTGCAGATTAGTCTAAACTGCATAAACTGAACCGATAAGCAAGTGAACAGACATTCACTTTTGATTCCAAAAATGCAGCCACATGCCTACAGTGGCTCAGGCCTTAAATTGGGGAAGGGGATGCTAAAGCATGCCTCCCTGCTTGGCTGGAGCAGACAGCTTGGGCCAAAGCTATCCCACCTACACTGCAAGGGTGGGTGGGGAGAGGGTACTGTGGGGGAGTTGCAAAAGCATCCTGGGATGCTGGGGGGACTGTGAGTTAACTTGAATTTGGAGGGGAACTGGGAGAGAAGTTCAATAAATCAGTTGAACCTAAATCAGTTAAGTCTGATGCTACATCCATCCAGGTTTATCTTAAACTGGTTTTGGCCATTTCTATTGTGTTGAAAATTTTAAACAGTTTCCAATCACTTATACTCATTTATGTGTAACTTCTGTCCCTAGCCTTATGACCCCAATTCCTTTCCAGTGTCTTATACTCTGCTGTAATAGAGTTGAGAGGAGCAGAAGCATGTGTACCAATATTTAGGTGCCTACACCTACGCTTGCCCCATGAGTAGTCTCATGGGGCATCTTTACACGTGCTCCAGGGGAGGGAGCGGAGTACTTTAATTAGAGTGGCTCCAAGAGCCTGCAGTGGCATGTATATTCAGCATCCCACACTTCAAAATACCGGTAGGGGGTGCTTTAACTAAAGCTCATTCGACGAGCTTTAAAGCGTCCCTGCCGCCATTTTTCAAACACGGGGATGCTGAATACACGTGACATGGAGGCTGCTAGAGCATGCTAATGAGCACACGGAGCAGACCTCTGGCACGTGTATAAGTGCCCGTGGTTCTGATTCTGTGGCTGGAGGCTTGCTAACTAATTGTGAAGCTTCGTGAAAGCCATAAGGTATCCAAGAGGTATCCACAAAAATATGTATGTGCTAAGCTGTCTCTCTGGCAGTTTTACCAGTTCAGTCCATTAAACCGTCCATCAAGTGGCTAGCTGAACTGTTCTTTAGAAAGAAAAGAACACTGTTCATGCATCTGATGGAAACAGGCACAGTAAAAGGGCATTCCTTTCAGATGTCACGGTTAATCTTTTATGTTTAAGAACTGAAGTTGTGTCAGTCATTTAGATCAGATGCTTAACATTTTGGCCCTGCAGGCTGGATGAGTGGGGTGGAACCACTGCACAGTCCAGATCCATGAGGGTAATGCCCCGATCGGGCCCTGTGCATGTGGATCCCATCTTGTGCCACCCACTCTGCCCAGATTCCTCCTCATGCTCCCCCAGCCCTGTATGCCCATTGTAGCATGTGGAGCCACACTATCCACCTGCAGGACTCCTCATACGTCCAGAAATTTAACAGCAGGAGAGCAGCAATTAAGGCTGGCACTGCTCCCCTGTTCTCAAATTTTTAGGCCCTGGGGAAGCTCTGTGGGTCAGATAACGTTGCTCCACCAGCCAGATCTGACCTGTGGGCTGGGGTTGAACACCCCTGATTTAGGTTAATGTATTGTAGGTTATATGCATGAAGGTGAGACAGATTGCTTTACATTGTAGGGCTGAGAGGGGGACAGTAATTGATAGCAAAATATTTTGCAGGCTTAATAGATAAATTCATCCTAAATCTCATCACCCTTCTACTTTGACAGCCTCTGCTGGACAATTTATAAGCTAGCAGTGGCAGCAGTAACAAAAGTGTCTATGTTTGATGCTTCAACCTTTAAAGGTAGCTGATACTATGCTTAAAAAAGTGCCCCTGCCTCCTATTTTATTAGCAGTTGATTTTTAGGATCACTAATTTATTTTCTTCATTTTAAAGCTTTTATAATGCCCTGAATTTGAGGGAAACGCATGCTATTAAGATAAGTGGAGAAAATTCATGCAGACTGATTTTTTTTTAAAAAATTACAGGCCAGCAATTCCAGTTTAATCTGTAATATTCCAAACCATAGTTGAACAATGGCCCTGAGACTGTCATCTAATTGGAAAATAGGTTTCTGCTAATAATGAATTAATCCCATTTACCCTTTCCTTCAGTACAGCAGAAGATTGGACTATATTACTGTCTAATCTTTGTGAAAGGTAACATACAGACAGCATAAAGATTAAAATATTCTTCTGTTTTACACAGTGAAGCACTTTATAGACATAGAGGTTAAATTTAAATCTTGAGTTCAATGTACTATATATTGAGCTTGTTATCCTTGAGGGAAAACAAATTGGTGATGAAAATGCCTCTGGAAAAAGAAGTGTTTAAGTTGTTACCCTCTGTTTCTCACAGGATTTCTTGTTTGCTCAGAAGCCTCATGCTCTTTTATTACCAGCTAGTGATGTGTTTGTAGAAGAAAAAGAGTTTTTCCTTCATTTCTTTCCTAGGTTGTTGACTTTTTCCCTGTCATTTCAACCACAGTAGAAGATGCAATTGTCTTCTGGGGTCCTTGAATCAAAAGGCTTTGGATTTGAATGCCTCTTTATCACAAGGACATATTAGAGGACCAATTTGAAAATGAAATCCTTCCAAAAATAAGATCAGCTATTTAAAGTGTGTCCAGACTGCTGATTGTTTTTGTGTTGACATTTCTGAAGTATTTGTGGTAACATGATCTTTAAAATGATCTAATGTGCTCTTAAGAAATGTCACTTATCATATACTTTTTAAAATTGCTGTATATGTTTGCTGATCTGTATCTAGAAAAGAAGTGTATTATTTCTGAGGCAAAAACAGGTTTTTCCCTTTTTACAGAACTAGTTGGTAGTGAATAGAATAAAGTGCAGACTGACACATGCGTGTTACTTTTGGTTGAAATGATAAGCATGCATTTTTTTAGTTAAGTACAAAATGATGCTGTCTGTAAATGAAATATGAAACTCCAATAGTAGGAAGGACTTGTACTATCCATCTCAAATGCCAGTACCTCATTAATTTTGATTGTTCATATTTCCTTTAGACTGCAACTAATTTCTCATTTTTCTGTAATAGCAGAGTGGTTTTCTTTCTACATAAACTGTATATAATGCACTTTTCTTCCCTAAAACCTCCCATTTATAATTTGCAATTCTTACATGGATTTTCACAATATTTTTTTTTCTGTTAGATGAAGTTGAAATTGGCATCTTTCAACAAAACTATGAGTTAGAGGTGTCTATTTCAATGAGTTATATTTGTTATAAAAATCCTAAGATGTTTTTATTTGTTTACTAGGAGATGTAGTTACAGGCAGCGAAGCTCAGGTGCCTGTTCCTGCCCAGAATCTTACTGCCCTCCAAGGTACAGTTGCTATGGCAACTCATAGTATTTCTTTGCCTGCAACATTATCATTGGCCTGTCAAGGACACCCCACCGATTTCATCCGTGGTGTCTCCATTTCCAGTGCTTATTAACTCACTGTCATCGTCCATCCAGTAAGTGGCACTGTTGTTTAGAAGAAAAGAGATTTCCCTTCACTTCATTATGACACGCTGATGCCAGTCCTGGCTGTGGTACTGGTTTACTCTCAATGTGTCCTGGCTTCTGTCCTGGCCAAAACATATATTTGCCTTATATGTTGTCATTAGTTTCACACTCCCCGTTTGGGGACAACTTAACTATCAGTTTCTGTTTTTGTTGAATGTATTCATCAAGGAAATCTTTGGCAAAGGTGTCCGGGGCTGGAAATCTTCTGTGATAAGCTGGTGCACTCTCTCTTCAAATAAAGAGAATGCTCACTGCCTAAAATATCATTTTCCCGTATAGTTTATATACAGTAAATTCTAAATAAACTGGAGAACTGAGTTGAACTTTGTACCAATTTCAGCATTGGTAAAGAGAAGGTAATTGTAATTTGTGTAATATTTAAGAACAATTAGGAAAGGAAGTCAAGTAGTAAGAGAGAAATCATCTGTACAAATCATCTTTGTGGGCGGGTGTGTTTGTGTAAGTGTGTTTTTGATTAATCACAACCTCCTTCTATTTAGTTTTATAACTACTCTTGTTTTCTTCCCCAGTCCTTTAAAAAGTCCAGGCACTAAAATTCTTTTCCTCACTCTTGAATGTGGCACTCCCATCTTACTCTCACAATCCTTCCAGTGGCTTCCAAATTATTTAAAGTAATTTTAAGTACTTACATTCTTGTCTTTAATGCAGTCACAGCCACACCCAAACTCTTTATTGCAAATATTACCAGCTATGATGCTATATGTTTGCTTTCCCCCCTCCTATATCTCCCATTTTTCCATAGATGTGGAAGCAGCAGGACCAGGAGAACACCAGATGCCTTTAGCAACAGGCAAGTAGCCAATTATTAGCGTGTTATAGGAGCGCTGCTGCTTCTGACCTGGAAAGTCACAGCTGTAGTAGTTTGTTTTTTGAAGTGGCATACCCAATCACTACAAGCAGATCTGTGATACATACATCCATGTGTATGTATACCATGTTAAGCATGGCTTATGTTGGTGTACTGACTCCTTTTTTCCAATATTGCATAGCATTTTACTCCTCATAACTTTCATTTGAGTCCTTTACTTTGAGTTTTCTTAAGTCGGTTTTATGCAGGATTTAAGGACCTCCTAATGCATGCTTTTATTCTAGAAGGTTTTGGGGAAGAGTTAACTTGGTTTTGGTAAAGGCCTTACCAGTCTGTTGGAGTTCTTTGAGGGTGTTAACAAGCATGTGGACACAGGGGATCTAGCTGACATAATATATTTGGATAGTCAAACAGCTTTCAACAAGGTCTCTCACCAAAGGCTAAGGTGCCACAGGATTTGCAGGAAGGTTCTTTTGTGGATTGAGAGTTAAAATATATGAAGTAAAAGTTGAGCCAAATGGTCATTTTTAGGATGGAAGGATCAAAAGTGGGATCCCGAAGGGATCTGTGCTGGGCCCAGTTTTGTTCAATATTTTCATCGGTGACCTAGAAATGAGGATGCACAGTGAAATCTCCAAGTGTGCAGATAGTACTAAAATATTAAAATCCCAACCTGCCAGGAGCCTGCAGAAAGATCTCACCAAGCTAAGGGAGTAGGCAAAAAATGGCAATTGAACTTCAAAATGCAAGGTAATACACATGGGGGGGGAAATAACCTCTACTACAAGTACACAGTGGACATGTTGACACATGCACATTTACTGCATAGTAACCTAAATTTCTGCACAGTACGGGTGCACATCTACATGTGCACAGTAAATATGGTCACCTGGCATGATGCAGGTATGCCCAATTAGTTACTGTGCAATAACTCAGGTGTAGATGCCTTACTGCACGGTAACACTGTGTGTGGGGGGGCTGATTTGGAACTAACTTCAGTCCCAAGTCAGACCACATGGTGTCAATGTGCTTTAATGCCTGCACATGTAGATGCCAGCCTATTTCCGTTTACTGCACAGTAAATTTAATGCGATGTAAATGCACATGTAGATGTGCCCAGTGCTAGGTTTTGAACTAGCTGCTACAACTTGGGAAGGAGATATTGGTATCATTGTAGATAGTTCCCTAAAAACGTCGGCTCAATTTGTGGCCATGACCAAAAAAGCCAACAAAATGGTGGGCATAATAAAGAAAGGAATTGAAAACAAATCAGAGAACGTAATCATGTCACTAGACGAATTCATGGTGTGCCCACATCTTAAATAGTGTGTACGATTCTGGTCTCCACATCTCAAAGAGATTGTAGGTACAGAGAAGGGCAGCCAAAATGATCACGGGGATGAAGCAGTTGTCACACCACGAGAGACTAAAAAAAGCTAGGGATCTTTAGTTTGGAAAGGAGAAGGCTTAGGGGAGAACTGATATAACATCACAAAGGGTTGCAGGTGAAGTCAAATAGCTCTGTTTTAAACCATGTCCCAGAATACAAGAAATAGGGGGCACCCTCTGAAATTAGTTGGAGACATGTTTAAAACTAACTAGAGAAAGTACTTTTTTACACAGTGTTGTTTTTTACACAGCAGTGTTTTGGTAGTGTTGTAATCTAGTTGCTATACGTAGTTGTTTGTCACCTCACGCATTTTGGCAGCAAGGGTTTTGTTCATTTTTTGTTTGCTTTGATTCAATGCGATATTCCCAAATTATAGGCTTCTTTTTAGATGTTCTCATTGTGGTTAACAATTTTGGAGGGAGCATCCACTGTGACACTACTTGGAAAGTGGGCTGAATCATTTGGAACCCACTACAAAATCTCAACTGTCACTTTGCATTTACTGTGCTGAGGTCCTCAGAGCTGTGCAGTGTAGAGAGTATGCTTCCAAAATAAAATGAGCAATACTAAAATAAATTGGAAGTCATTTACACAAATCTATCATTAGGTTTTTGTGACTTCCATAGTGTAGGGCATCCAGCGCAGGGCGTCCAACTTCATTGGTGCCACACACTGCCTGGGCCATATGATTCAGTGACCTGACCCCAGGATTTTCCTATCTCTTCCCAACAGTGTGGCTAGAGTGAACGCCCTGTGATTCCTCTCACCACCAGCCACCATGTAGTCCCCCAGTATCCTTCCCACCCCCCTGCTACACAGGCAGCAGCAGCCAACAACACACATCCCCCTCCTAGACTCTTCTCCACTGAACAGCATGGTGAGTGGCGGTTGCAGGCCCTGCAAGCCACATGCTGTCTCCTCTCAGGTTACATGAGCCAGTTGGACAGCCCTGGTAAAACATATTAGTAGAGCTGCAATTGTCCCGTAATTTTAAACTAACAGCACAGTAGCTTGCTGTTTGGATGTGGCAGAACATGTTACATCTGGATTGACTTGTCTTTCTGATTTCTTGTTTTCTGTGGTTAAGGTTATGACAATCACTCTGGTCGCTGGCAGTAACTTGGCTTAATTATTTGTGCCTTACCACTCAGTTTGAGATATCTAGTATGTGGTATTCTACCTTTAATTCATGATCTCTCTCTCTCTCCAAGATGACAATCAGAATCACAGTGGTGTCCACAGGAATGAAATAGACATAGTGCAATAGAGTGACATAGTGCAATAGTGATAATTTTCCTTAGGTTTGCTGAAAATTTGTGCAAATTCTACTGTAGAGAGCCATTTTTACATGTTCTGGTGTCTGTATCAGCTTTCACTTAGGACATACAGATAAATTTCATATGTTATCACTTTTGCTTAGAGGTTTTCTTCATTTTCCTTCATGCCTTCATTTTCAGAACATTCCAGGTAGCTTTTTTTTTTTTTTATTTGACATGTTTGTTAGTCATTTATATGCAATAAGTATTCAGATTTGTTGATCTCATTTGATTAATTCTTCAGTAGAGCACTGCTTTTGTCTTGTCCTTTTCACTCCTTGTTACAGATAAGTTTGTTTTTCCTTCCTCCCCCACATCAGGAACATCATTTTTTAAGTACTAGTTTATTTTCATCTTTTCTGCAAGCTGTCGTTTTGATTTTGCAATTTAGCTTTCTATTGGTACATTTCTCTCCAAAAGAATGATATATTACCTTGTCTCATTTTCTGTTATTTTGTATTTTGGGTTAGTTTTGTGAAAACAAAAAATATTTTCATTTCATTACAACTAATCCTTTCTGTTATTTGGGTTTGATTAAAACTGTTGTATTATTATTTCTATGGATTCTTTCCTGTAATATGTTCAAAGTGCCATGTATCACATTCTACTTATATTGGTGGTTTCCCCAAAGTTGTGTGTTTCATCCTTTGCTTACATACAGTGGATACATCTAAACGTGCACTTTTCTGTGGAGTTGATTAATTAGCTACACAATAAAGCATCACCATCTACAAGTGCCACTGGTATTAGGGCTCAGTAAATTAACTCCACCGTAGGATAGTACTGTCAGACTAATTACGTGCCCTGAAACGCACATGTAGACAGTGACAAGGGCTGGCTGGGGCACAAGGGTTCTAAAGTGCAGAGGCTGCCTGCCCCATGTCTCCACACTATAGCACTCCTGTGATCCAGCCATCCCTGACACTGCCTCTGCCCCGAGCCTGCTGTGAGCCCAGAGATGCTCCACTCCAGGTCAGACTGCTGCTGCTGGTCCCAGGTGTACATGCAGATGCTGACACCATCTGAAACAGCTCCAGAGTTTATTGAGCCAGATTAATTGCATGTGTAGGTGCACCCAGTGTTCACTACTGTCATTAAAACCACTTGAGCATGCAATGGAGATGTATAGATTAAGATAAAACATTACTTGCTTCTTAATATGTGTTCTTTGCTTCATTTATCCTGAACAATAATGGGCTATTCCTCCTAATACAATAGCAAATAGCTTAGTCTACTTTTTTACAGGATACATACATATATACATGCCTTCAATTTCTCACTTCATATTCTGTCTCCTATTTCACTTTCACTATATAAAGTTATTCTTATGTTCAAAATTTAAGCTTCCAGCTGGGGGGTAAATATATTGCCAAAAATATGGTCTCGGTTATCTCAAAATTATTTGCAAATTCTGTGAAATTCACTGAAACCTGTCAGCTGGTTTGGTATCTTTTCAAGGGTATATTCACAAAACTGTGATTGGGCAAAGTGAGGATTGTCTATTTTTATCCAGTAGTTTCAAAAGTGTCAGCACTTTGTCCAGGATGGTGGAGTCCTTGATTCAAGTCCCTTTTCTGCCTTATGCTTTGAACTCACAGCTCTAGCCTCCTCTGTGAATGATTTTAAGTACCATACTGTTGAGTGTTTTGCAGACGAATTTGGGCTTTCAGTCTCTGTTGACACAGTGGCACTTTGTATAAAATTCTTAAATATTCCCTCAAACAGGAATCCAAATGTCCCACCTTTCAGGTGAGCAGGGTTGCCAACTGTCTTTAAATTTATGGGCAGTCTGTAAGAAAAAAGGCTAAAAATGCTTGTCTGTAAAGTCTGTAAAAAAAAAAATTTTAAATGGAGCTGCCAGTAAAAAACTAAGCAACAGTTCTATCTCATATCTGAGTGGGAGTGCAGCACCCTGCAGTGAGCTCTCCATCGGAGCTTTGTGGCTCACAGAAACCTCCATAGGTCCCTTCCCCTCCCACCTGCCCCTAACCCCCAGCCCTGTGCTCCCAGTTTGTTTCATTGGTTGTCACCTGACAGTAACAGCTGCTCACCTCTCAGGTATGGAGGTCTCTGCAGCCCTGGACAGTCTGAGCCACTTAGTGGGACAGAGAGCAGTGGTGCAGCTAGGATAAAGCTGGAGGGCTGGGAGGGGGAGAGGTGGCTGGGGAATTCATGTTGGGATGGGGAATGGGGCCTGTTGGGGTAAGGTGCAGGGTGGGCTAGGGTGGGGGCAGCACAGTGCGATTCAGAGTGTGGGGTGTATAGAGAGTCCCTTGGTGTGGTGGTGGTAGCATGGTCTAAAATCATTGCTGCAGTCAAATAAATCTGGTAAAAGTTGGTGTTAAACCTCTATTTTTTAATCTGACCCTTGTTGCTACTGTCTTGGGCCTGTCTCAAGGGCTGCATTTACATTATATAAAACATATGTCAGTAAAAATAGTTTGATTGTCAATAATTAGTTTGTGGATTGTCAGTAAAATTTTATTGGGTTGGCAACGCTGCAGGTTAGTGACCTACACACCAGGCTTCAGAGTTATTTTTACTCACTCCTAATGGCTCAAAAATATTTAAATATGATTATTTTATGTCAAATTGACAGGAAGAACATTTTAAAAGCAATGAAAAATTAATACATCAATTAATTAGGAAGAGAGGAGGGAGAGAAGTATGAGACTAAATTGTCTTTTAGAAAATGCTCAATCACCCACTCTTTAATTCATAATGAGCCAAATGAAACATTAATCCTGGAGCAAAATGAGCTGAATTTTCAAGAAGTTTGAACTGAGGCCAAATTTCAGATCTAAACTTTTTCACTCATTCCTTTCTAATTTCATTGAACATGCCATATGTTTATGGTGATTGTTCAATGCAGAAGGCCAAAGTTATTGTGTTTTATTATTTAAAAAATGCAATGACTTGCCTAAATCCTACTTTGCTGTATTGTTAGCACGATTTTTCCCCATTATGATTGTTTTGTGTGTTATTCTGTAGTTCTTGTTCTTGTACTGATTTTGGTTTAGTGCCTTTTCCTCTAGTTCAGTACCACATTGAAGCACTTTCTATTTTAGAGAATTAGCATAAGAAGTTTGATATATTGATTTATTGAAGATATTACCTAAAGCATCTCCTCTTTCAGTTAAGCAACTGGAAGGATAACAGTATTGCCATATCACACTGTTTATCATATTTCATAGTATTTGGAGTATCCCTTAAAGGATTTTCATAATTTCTTCCTTTAATGTTGTATACTTCTGCCTTTACCAAAAATGGCCACCATCTCCTATTACTGTCTATGGAAGTAAGGAACTCTGGCACCCCTCAGTCTGGTGTGTGCTATTTCCCTGTGGCATTTACAGGTAATAATTAGGTCAGCAAAGATGGTAACCATTTCCCTCACTTGGTAAGTGGGGGCTGAAGCAAGGTTGCCTTCAAACAAGGCAATGATTACTTACTAGATCGAGATAAGGAACCAGAAAATTCAGAGGTGCAAGAACTATGGGGACAGAAGGGAGAGACAAGAAGGTCTGAGGAGTAGAAGGCAGATGGAGGCAGGGGCATATGAGGGGCATGAGGCAGAGAGAAGGCAGATCTAAAGGAACCATGGAGACCAGAAATCAGACAAAGGTGGGAGAGATGCAAGGGAGTCTTAGGGAAGCAGGCAAAAGGAGATGGAAGGGGCGGGGGGTGGGGGGCAGGTGGAGGTCAAGGGCACAAGGGGAAGATTTCTTGCTAACTTTCCTACAGCCAGGAAACTCGCTGAAAATTCATATCAGTCTGTGTCCTGATTACTCATCAGCTGATTCTGTGATGTGTTTGGTGTCTTGGATAGTTCTTTGCACAGAATGTCATGGTTTTTTCTTAAAATACTGCTTTCACTGTTTTCATTTTTCAAGACCACATCTATTTTAAAAGGAAAGATATGAACCCAAATAAAGCTATAATTTCATCTAAACATGTATATAATTAGTACTATATGAATTTAGGAATGTAGCAGGTACTGCATGCATCAGAATGTTCTTTATAGCTGACTTAATGCTTAATCTCAATTCTGTAGTGGCCTCCAGCTAAGCATGAGACTCCCCAATGTCGGATCTCATTCTAGGAGTAGTGTGTAGATGACTGCACAGTGTTAAGGTATTTTGTTCATTCACATACATAATAAAAAGTAGGCTTGTACATTCTGTGTTTTTTTTCATCTTGATTACTCTGTTGTTAGCTTACCATGTGGCTTCTTAGCATTTTAATCTCTTCCTTGTTTCCCACAGCCTTTTCTGCCTTTGTTTTCTAGTTTGCTGTTATATTTTGTTTCTACAGAATCCTATTTCAAGGGGTAAAACTACAGTCCATATTGAAGGGGAGAATGTAACTCATCACAGAGAGGGAGTTAAGTAATATATTCAAAAATGGTTTATGCATCAACCATTACAAAATACTGACAATGCTAGTGGCTGTATGCAGCTATATATAGTGCATGTGAAAATGTAATAGACGTGAGCTGCTGGAACACCAATAAAGTTTATAAAACCAAAGGCAGATTGGAAAAGAAATTATCAAAAAAGTGGATAACTTTACATGTGTATATGTGGGTCACTTTACTTGCATGGATCACTTTTGATGTCAGAAATTTATAAAAAGGGTTATGTATTTAGGAATTAGAATATCTGACCATATAATACAACTGAAATTGTGTACTTAGAACTCAGAGGTAAGCATGCATAAATAAATAAATATATATATAATTAAAAAACTAATCAAATCACAGAAATTGTGAAAAACAATTTAATTTCATGTGTCATTTTATTCCTTTTTCCACTGTAATATTATTTAAGTTTCCTTTCATGTGATCCTTATATACTAGACTGGGTTCCCACTTACATCAGTGAAATGGCTTTATTATTTGTATAATTTGTTGTGTAGGGTTTGGGTTTTTTTTTTTTAAGAAAACAAAAACCTATCTTTGATTTTTCCCTCAATCTTAATTATCCATTTTCTGTTAATGAAAACAAATGTTATTTAATTGTTAGTTTTGGGGGTTTTTTGGCTTTTTGTTTGTTTGTTGGACTTTTTTGTTCTGGGACTATTAAAATAGCATTTTAATTTAAAACAAAACCTCAGTTGACTAATTTACAGTGACCTAAACTGCCAGTAGCCATTCTTGTAATTCCAAGAATATCTCAACTAGTGTGCACAGGGGACGTTTAGCTGTCTCTCTTACTTCAGAACACAAAAATTGTATAGAACTTGGAATTCTGTGTGTCAAAGAGATAATCAAGTGTTAGGAAGTGAAAAATCTATAATACTTTTTTCCAATGGAAAAAAATAATGTTTACATGTTTTAACATTAATTTTACTTTAAAAAATATTCATCTTAGGTATCAACATCAAATGAGTCACCCAGTAATTTTTCTGGGTATATTCTCAACTATTTTTTCAATATTCTGAGTGGAAAAGGACACGGGAAAGGCACAGGCTTCAAGTTTCTAATGAATGAAGACTTGGGGGGGGGTAGGTAGATCAATTGAACATTGATCTACCTATCAATGTTCAATTAACATGGGCAGATCTAGGAGCTTACATGCTCAATCTTTCTTCAATCATGTCATTAATTTGTTTTATTTTCTATAGGAAAGTACACTTGCAGACATAAGGAACTTGAAACTAAAAATGTGGACAAGCGAGTAGCCTACAGTCAGTTAAATGTGGGCAGAAACTTACCACCATGCAGTGAACAGTATCAGTCTGCCCACGTTTAACTTTCATGGTAGGTAGAAACTAAACCAGAGCAAACTTAGACCAGTTTAGTAAACTGTCCCAGTTTAGTTTTCTCTTACCATGGGGGTAACTAAGTAAAGGAGCAATTATCACTTGCCATCTGCTCTATGGTAAGTCTTCTCTCCGTTTTACCTCTCTGTAGTTTGTTCATTTTTCTGCACCTTTGTTCCACGTGATGGAAAGTGAGTGACTTTAAGGATGGAAAATATCAAAGAGAAAAACTGACTTTCTTTTTATATTTAGTTAGCAGCCCTCTGGTGCTTCATTAGTGTGGAACAAATAGCTTTATAATATTTATGAAGGGGAGGCTTTGACAGAGCTGATTTATAGAAATCAGCTCCCTCAGCTGTCTTCTCTGTTAGGCTTCCTGTGCCAAAGAAAAGGCAATTGCAATTGCATCAGTTAAAGTGCATGTTCAAGTAACTGTTAGTTCCTTTCTTTGAGGTTCTTCAATCTCAGTTCTAGGATTTGAGCTACATTTATGGATAACAAGTCACAATAGAGGAAGCTGAGAAGAAAATGAATCACAAAAGTATTTCTTTACAATTTAGTGTATTGGATTCATTAAACGTTAAATCCTTTTCCATGTTCATCTCTGTGATATAAACAAGTCCTATATAAGGCTAAGTATTGTGTATTAATTTTCTTTAACTGAGTTGAACAAATTGCTACAGTACCACTAAATATTGCTTATGCTGATTCAGGTCTAGAATTATTTTTCTATTCTCTTTCATTAGAAATATATAGAGATCTATATGTCAAAGCATATTTCTCTCCATATCACACAATGCATGCAGACCCACACATGGCAAGGATGCAAAATCTCATCCTCTGTTGATCTATAGATGTATCTCGATGAGCATCACTTGAGAGACAGTAACTGATGGACAGAGTGATTGTTTGATGGTTAATTTTTTGCCACTGTATGCTTATTTTACAGGCCAAAGTTCAAAGAATGTCAGCGCATCTCCAAGCACAGAGAGCTTGTCTGGAGGACGTGAATATACGGGGTCTCCTCCCTTGTCTGCATCCAAGAAAGATTCCTTTTTCAGTACCATCTCCCGTTCTCGTTCCCACAGCAAAACTATGGGAAGGAAGGAGTCTGTAAGTTCCCCAGCACTGTGATCTATTTTTAATGTCATATTAGATCACTTGGTGAAGCGGATTATTTTTCTTATTCATTAAATGCTTGCATTTTAAATTATTTCCATAACAAAAAATGAATGGCAAAACAGAAATTACTGGAGATATTTTCATGTCTGCTGAGGAGTATTCCCACAGTACCCTCCATCCTATAATCCTGCTTTATTTTCTGAAGCCTCTGGTAGACTAGATGAGAGGAGGGACTTTGCTTCATTAGACTTCAGGGCTGAGACTAAAGATAATAAGCAATTTAGTGGGGGGACCTCATGCTCATCAGATCCAACCTTGTCCATCTGTTGCCCCTGAAGTTCTGTAATACATTGGAGGTTTCCCACAGTGTCTGCAGCATCTGTAATCTAGAGTAGCAATTAAATTTCCCAAGAAGCCTGACCTTTCTTAAGACACAAGAAACTTAAACTGTTTGTTTGTTCATGTAAGGAAATCTGCTGGTATAGTAAATACGGTGTGAGAAATTCTCATCCTCAATACTCAAGAGATTGATGAAGTTAATGACTCTTGTATACCCAGGAGGGGGTGGCCTCCCTCTTTCAAATAAAACAAGAAAAGGCATCAAATTAAACTTCTTAAAACTTTCTTAAGGCACAGGCCTTCCCTAGTCTTTCATCCAAGTATGTGAAATCATCAGTTCCACATTTTTACAATCTTATGTTGATAGCATTTCCTACTGATTTCAAGATCAAAGGGTTTCTTAGGGTGATATCTTTCGTTGGACCAACTGCATATTTGGGATGGAGTTGGGTTTCTGATGAAGTGTGTCTTAGAATTAGACAAGCCTTTAAATGTATTTCAACTATACAGTGGTCCGAAGATATCACCCCCAGAAATCTTTTCCTCTTGCATAATTCCTGGACTCTCACAGCTACATTACTATAACTACATCAGCCACAGCCAACCCCAGACCTCATACTCACTCCTCAATCCCCCCTACTCCACCATCACAAACCTGACAGCCCCTACTCCCCTGTTATGGACTGCCAGCACTTAGTCCCTCATCTGTACAGAGCTTTCTGAGGAGATTGTTTTCTACTGGGAGAACAAAACTGGGAGAATTCTCCCAGATTATTTGAACATGTGTATATACCCAGCCTAAGTATATTTTTGCATATGATTTAGCAATAATCTAAATTTGAGTCAACTGGACTTGCAGTTTTTAGCTTGCCTATGATTTTTAATTCTCTTTTGTAAATGGAATTTAAGACAAATACCTTTTTAATCCTGTTATATGAAATGTAAAAAAAAAAAATTCTGGTACTACTGAGACTTGGTTAGGCTTTATTGAGATTTCCATTATGTATTTTTCTCATTGTTCCCAGATTGACAGCATTATCTTTTATAGATTACTGGGTTTTGAGAAAAGGAACAAATTAGGTTTCTTTTTTTTGTACGTCATTTATGAATACTTCTCAGAAGCATCAGTAGATTGGTATTTTGACAGTCTAAGTAGAGAAGGAATATTCCTTTGGGTTCTTTAAACTATACTAAATGCTTTATAGTATAGTAGCTTAGAACTAATCAAGCAGTATGTACTGCAAGTTGCTGAAATCTGTTTCCCTCTATTCAGCTTTTTACCTGCTGTGTTATAAAACAAAAAAGGTCTTTATTTCATATTAGCTCCCAACAGAAAAGGTTTTCTTAAGTTTATTTGAAATAAAATCATTGCTCGTATTTCTTTGTGTATTTTCATAGATTTCATAGATTTCATAGACATTAGGGCTGGAAGGGACCTCGGAAGATCATTGAGTCCAGCCCCCTGCCCAAAGGGCAGGAAGTCAGCTGGGGTCATAGGATCCCAGCAAGATGAGCATCCAGTTTCATCTTGAAGGTGTTCAATGAAGGCACTTGAACCACCTCCGGTGGCAGGCTGTTCCAGACCTTGGGGGCTCGGACAGTAAAGAAATTCTTCCTTATGTCCAGCCTGAAACGATCCTGAAGTAGTTTGTGACCATTTGACCTCGTCATCCCTTGGGGCGCTCTGGTGAACAAACGTTCCCCCAGATGCTGGTGGTCACCCCTGATAAACTTGTAGGTGGCCATCAGATCACCCCTGAGCCTGCGCTTTTTCAGGCTAAAGAGCCCCAGGGCTCTCAGCCTGTCATCGTAGGGTCTGCTTCCCTGACCTCTGATCATGTGCGTGGCTCTTCTCTGGACTCTCTCAAGCTTCTCCACATCCTTTATAATGCTGAGTTTTCTTAGCAAAGGGAAAAAAAACAATCAGTGCAGCCCAGCGTCCTAAAATTAGACACAGTAAATTTTTCAAGCCAGGAGTTCATAATTGCTTCATTTAGCATGTTACTGAAGGGGAAAGGAAGCAAAGGACTTTAAAATATTGGGTTCACTTTATTTACATTTAATTTGTGGTTGATTTTTATTAAATTATGTATTTATTAAATTATGGCTGATTTTAGCATCTTTTGGGAAAGAGATCTGTAAGTATATACCTTACTGCTTTATATTTGATACAGAAATCCTCAACCAGCATTGCCCAACTTCTGGGCAGCTGGGGACCTCATGCAGGAGAGGAAACAGACCCAGGGTCACATACCCTGGGGGCTCCCCCCACTCCTCCCCAGAGCCTCCCCATGTCTCATACAACCCAGTTCCTCCCTCACCATGCACAGTCATGCTCCCTGTCCTTTTCCAAGCACTTAGCTGAACACCCTCCTCTGCTGCACAGGCAGCCTGCCCCTCTCCTACTACACTGCCCCACCCCAGGAACCAGAAGCCAGAGGAGGGAGGGGAGACCCTGGCCACTGCTTCTTCAAGATGGAGTGGCAGCTGCATTGGAACACACGGATCACATGTTAACCCCTCGCATTCTGTATGCAGTCTGTGGGCTGCCAGTTGAACAGCCCTGCTTTAAACTAATAGTGTAGATTATGTTAAAGTTTTTTTATGGAAGGCTACTTTATTGAGCACTTGGCCACACATCAGTCAGTTGTTTAAAAAATTACTCATTTAAGAGTCAGAAAATCCCATTCCCCTCTGACCCCTCCCCACTCAGTGTTTGCACTAAGTGTTGTAGGTAGAAACCTATCTAATTTCAAGGGCTGACCCCTGATTCGTGGTTTGAGCGTGGCACCAGTTGCCATTTTTGTGGCGGAGCACAGCGAGCTCCTCCCATGCCTTTGATTGGAGTGGGACACCTTGGATAATCAGAGACATGAGGAAGGCTGCCGTATTCCACCACAAAAAATCTCTTCTCTTCCCCCCCACGCCCCCCTCCCCATGCTTCAGGATGCCAGGGCTTCTTTCTTCTGTTTTCAGGTCCCGTCCCTTCCCTTCCCCTGCCCCCCGCCACTTGCTGGCTGTTTTCCAGCTTTTTTGCAATACCCATCCTTTTTCACAGGGGACCCACCAAATTTGCTGTTTCTGTGAAAATTAGAATTTTGGTAGGTCTCTAGTTACAGGGTTATAGGAAAAAATATTCATATAAATGCATGCCCTGTTACAAGGGTATTAAAATAATTGTCTTAAGTCACAATAGAACATACTACAAGGTTTATAGTTATTTAACTTTGGATCATCTTTAATTTTAGATGTCTGTCCAGCCACTGGAATTTGTTGTTGCTGCCAGAGACGCTATTTGTTCTGTTCTGTTCCTGAAACATACCTGAAAGCCTCCTCCTCTTTCTCCTCTGGTAGGAGCACTTTAAATGGAAAGGCTTCGGAGCCATCTAGTAGCCTTCTTGTGTAGACTAGTAGCCTTTTTATGTGATGCAGTGTGGTGCGCTACATTCTCCCACTAGGCTCAGGTTTGGCAGAGGTAGAAAATGGAGTCAATTATTTTGAGATATATGGCTCGTCTGACTGACTAGAAGTTGTTGCATGTTAAGACTGTGAGCAACCATTCATTTATAGGTGATAGAGCTGCTGCTTAGGTCTCTACCCCTAGGGGAGCCCAATCACTGATAGGCTGCTTTTTCCCATGCCAGGGAATGGGGCAGCCTTTCAGTAATCAGGTGGCAGCTGCTATCAAAGAAAGCCCTTTGCTGCCTCTGGAAGTAGGAAGTTCAATTAAAACTGCTGCCCTCACCCTCACCTCCCTGGGTAATGATGCTGCCATTGCCAGAACACTGGTTTGTGCTAGCAACTTGTGCTAGCACTACTGCCGCTGCTACCAGAGCACTGATAAGACCCAGCACTATAATAGTTGCGGTGGTAATAGCAGGGTCCCAGCAGGGCTCTCCGACAGCTTGGCTAGGGAGAGACATTCAAAAAGCCGGAGCCTGAATTGATTCAACCTTTGTAGGTTAGTCTAACCTGCCTAGGTTGAACCAGTTTGTAACGGTACAGACATTCTCTCTGGACTGAGGCAATGTAGTCATATGCCTCTTCAGTTGCTCAGGGCAGGAGGCTGCTAGAGGCACCCTCTGCTGCAGGGGAGGTGTGCTGGGGGGAGGCGTGGCCAGTCTGGGCTGAACTGGCCAGAGAGGTATTTAATTCCCACCTCCCTGTCCCACCGGCAAGGACCCAAGCTGGGTCTGCTGGGCACTTCCCCCTCATTGCTGCAGCAGCGGGCCAGCATGGCCTCTGAGGCAAACTGGGCAGGGAGTGGGGTTATTCTCTCCTCTAATCCCCACTGGCCCCAGGGGACTGCAGCCAGGTCTGCCCGCCGCTTCTGCCACCGCACTTGCTCCCTGCTTGGGGCAAGCAGTGGAATAAGCCACCTGCTGTCCCCTCCACCGGACGGCAGAGGGAGGGGGGAATAACCCTCATCCCTGCCCTCCCCAGGAGTCCTGCTGGCTGGCATCTGGCTGCACCCCTGCCCAGCCGCTGCAGCAGCGAGGGGGCAGGGCCCTTGATGGGGGCAGCAGCCTCTGTCATAGTGTCAGAGAGGGCGAGACCCTTCCCAGTAGGGGGCCCCCCGTGGGGAGGGCAGAGCTGTGGCAGATTGTGTGCAGCAGCACCGGGGCCTAGAGGGGGCCAGGGCCCTCCAAGAC